AAAAAAAAAAAAAAAGAAAAAAAAAAAAAAAAAAAAAAAAATACTGCTCAATTTCACTAATAATCAAAAAATTGCAAAATTAAATTATTCCAAAGAATACAAAATTTTATCTAGTTATTTCTAAAGATCATGTGAACAGGTACAACTTTAATGGACAGCAATCTCGAAATATCTGTCAAAATGACAAATGCACTTATCCATTGACCACACAATTCTATTACTAGAAATTTATTATATAAACTCACAAATGGAATATGTATTAGTTATTCAATGCAGTATTGTTTGTAACAGCAAAAGGTTAAAATAATATAAATATCCATTAGTAGGGACCCAATTGAGCAAATAAAAGTGTCTACAGACTGGGATAATATATAATAGTATAAAAGAACGTGAAAGCTCTTTAGGTATTGATTTTGAATAATCTCTAAGATATATTAAGTGTAAAAAGAATAATGCACAGTATTCCGTAATTTGTATAAAAAGGAATGGAGAATTCATATATAACCTTTTATATACAAGGATACTTCCAAACGTTCGTGGAAAGATTCGTATTATCTTTTTTTTCAGCTCTATACCTGAAGATCATATTATCTCTCTCTTTTTTTTTTTCCTTTTTTTGTCTTTTTTCGTGTCCGGCAACAGATCGCAACCCTCAGTGTTGCGCCCGTACCGGACCAGGACCAGCAACGAGATCGCAACCCTCGGTGCTGCGCCCGCACCTTGCTCAGCCAGTGAGCAGGAACCGGTCTGTATGTGGGATCCGAACCCTCGGCGGGAGCACCACCGCGCTCTCAAGCGGCGCACTGTAGCAGTGCGCCACCGGGCCGGCCCCATATTATCTCTTAATGCTATTTTTCCACAAACTTTTGGAAGTACCTTCCTATGTGTCCGTATGTAAATATATATGTGTATGAGCTTGCTTGCATATGGATAAAATGATCTGTAAAGGTACATGAGAAACTGGCAACATTGGCTGCCACGGGGAAGGGAACTGGTAGACGGAGGCACAGGGCTAAAGGTGGCTTATGTTGCCCCTTTTATGCCTTCTGAATATTTGAACCATGTAAGTGGTTTAAAACAAATGAAAACAAGCAAAAAACGTTAAATAAAGTGGCCTTACTTGCATATGGTCCACCCTTCCAACTGTCATCGGTTGGGTTAGAGAGCTGGCTCTGGCCTCTCTCAGAGGCATTTTTATCTATGCTGCTTAAAGACTGGCGGTCGAGATCCACATCCTAAATGCAAATCAGAGAGAAATACAACGGTCACTTCTCTTCATCCATAATTCAGCACCTGGGCAGAGATATGCCTGTTTTAACACTACTGGCCCAGCTTGACTCTGAGTGCCTTGCTCAGCTCAAAGTAAAATTATACTGCAAGCTTAATATAGCATTTCTCAAGGGCTGCAATGGAGAGACTAAGAATTTTAATTATTTCTCCCCACCCCCATTAAAATTTCACACTTTCCTGTTCCAACTCAGAGGACATTTCTCTACATATTACAATTTAACAATGAGTGTGACACATTTTTTTTGTGACAAATTTTTAATGAGATCAAGTTCAAAAATAAATTAGTAGTGCAGTAGCTATGTAGCTATTTTCAAGTCAATACAGAAGACAGAATTAAAAAAGAAAATACTTAAATAATGTTTCATTTTTAAATTGCCGCATCCCAAAAGCCTTTTAAAATCTAATGGCCTTAGAGTTATTTGTGAATAGACGTTAATAGTTCATCCCCCTGCCTCTATAAATCAAAGTATTATTATTATTTTTTTTGTGTGTGACCGGTAAGGGGATTGCAACCCTTGGCTTGGTGTCGCCCGCACCGCGCTTAGCCAGTGAGCGCACCGGCCATCCCTATATAGGATCTGAACCTGCGGTGGGAGCATCGCTGCGCTCCCAGTGCCACACTCTCCCAAGTGAGCCATGGGGTTGGCCCTCAAAGTATTATTTTAAAGTGAAATTTGAATTGGTTAGAACATGGTATTATAACACTAAGGTCAAAGGTTTCAGATCCCCATACTGGGGCCAGCCACCAAAACACAACCAAACAAGTGAAATCTTAATTAAAACCTCACACAAAAAACAAGAACTACCATTTCTCTGGTGGAGAGGAAAGCACTACTTATTTAGGAGGCATTAAGGAAGGATAGTCACACCAAAGTGCTATTTATAACAGTGAAACACTATAACTGGCCTGAGAGTCCAACAAGGGAGAATTAAAGAAATTATAATTTGCAGGCACTGAAAAGGCTGTTCTCAAAGGAGAGTTAAGAATATGGAAAAATGCTCACAATGTTGTTAATAAATTATGTGCCAAGTGATCCCTCATTTCACACATGTGTGGGTCTACTAGGTGTGTATAACCACACAAAGAAAAAGCCAGAAATGTAAACTGTTTTTTATTGGGTGAGGTAACTTATTTTCTTAATACTTTTCTGTACTTTGACAAAAAATATGTTAATGGACATATACAGTTTTCATTTATTTTTGTTTGTTCATTTACTTATTTATTTATTTTTTAGGTGGCTGGCCAGTATGGGGCTTTGAACCCTTGACCCTGGTGTTATAACACTGCATTCTAACCAACTGAGCTAACCAGCCAGCTCCCCTAACATGTACTGTTTTTAGATCTCATAACCTTGTTTACTCACTTCCCATCCAAAAGGTAAAAGCTATATAGGCTGATTAATATTTTACTAAGATATGAGAAGAAAAGACAACCAAAAAAAAAAAATAATCCTA